TATTGAGCTAATATTTGACATCTCAATTGAAATATGGCATCTCTTTTTTGTCAGCTACCATTGTGCTGAGTCATTAGTTTCCTCAGAGAACAATGGTTGTGGAGTCAATAATATCATTTCCTTTGGTACCACCTCTGAGACATAACCAAAAGTCTCCTATCCAAGTTGAAAGCTAGCCTCATCCATACTAGTTTGAATTTATATGTGATACTGGCCCCAGGAAACAAGAGAATTATCAAAAGATATTTGGACAGTTCTTGATTAACACTAAACATTTTACTCCAAGAGTTTGTACTTACTTTATAGATACTATAATCTTTACAGCTCTTAGAGCGTGATTTTGACGGTCCTGTTCTGAAAATAACTTACAGATAATCTGAAGATTTATGGTTCCCAAAATTAACTTATAAAAACCAAGAAGGTTGAATTGCCCCTTATTTCCTGTGAAGAGTATGCAAATATTTCATTCATTATAGTTAAGACAGGGTTGAGGCTAATGGAAATAAAAGCACATTAAAACAGAGCTGAATGATAGAGGAAGTAACTCAGTTACCAGAGGAACTTCAGATCAGCTACAGATATAATAGACTGATTATAACTACTCACTTTGATAAATGGAAACAACTTTTTTTCACTATTAAGGTATTGATGTTTGGTGTTAGTCTCTGTGTAAGTAAAGGAATATACAGAGTGAGGACAATGGCAACAAGAATGGATTCTAATATAACTTTAATTTTTACTATCTATGAGATGCTGGGAAATTATTTAACCTCTCAAAATCTCACTTTAGTCTTATATAACTACAAATAATGCCTATTATATGGATTGTTGCAAAAATTAAATGAGAATTCGCATCTAGAAGAATATGTAACATGGTTCATACTCAGTGAATCCTTATGACATTATCATCTCTCTGTATGTTATTTTTTTATAGTGTTGACATTTTTTAAAGGATATTATTTTAATTAATCACTCCACTCAATGTGGAGCTCAAATCCACAACCCCAGAGATCAAGAGTTGCATGCTCCACTGACTGAGCAAGCTAGGCACCCCTCGGTATATGTTATAAATAAACATTTGACATAAATACATTTGCAGTAATTTAAAAAATCATGTTAAATAATAGTGAAGATTACTGCTAATAATTTTTTGTCATTAGGGAATTGGTAGGCCTTTGAAAACTCAAGTAGTATTAGAAGTTCTAGGGTATGAAAAGAAGAGTATAGATGATTTTGGAAGGATGTGTACATGTAATATTTATTACTGAAGAGTTCACTTTAGTAGAGAAAGCTAAGCTCTAAGTCGGTTTTTCAAGAGCACTTATTCTCTTTTTAGGGGCAGGTATCATTTTGTCTAGAATTTATTATTTTATTTTATTTTATTTTATTATTTTATTTTATTATTTCTTTGCAGGTGAATGTCTAGTTCTAGCACCATTTGTTAAAAGATTATCCTTTTTCCGTCATATTGCCTCTTTGCTCCTTTGTTAAAGATCAGTTGACTATATTTGTGTTAGTCTATTTCTAAGGTCTTTATTCTGTGTTGTTGATCTATTTGTCTATTTTTTCACCAATACTATACTGTTTTGTTTACTGTAGCTTTATAGTAAATCTTAAAGTCAGGTAGCATCAGTCTTCCCATTTGGTTCTTCAGTATTGTGTTGGCTCTTCTGGGCCTTTTGACTGTCCATATAAGCTTTAGAATTAGTATATTGATATGCACGAAATAACTTGCTGGGATTTGGATTGGAATTGTACTGAATTTATACATCAATTTGTGAAGAACTGACATTTTGACAATATTTTGTCTTCTATCCATCAACATAGGATATCTCTCTATTTCTTCATTGCTTTCCATTCATCAGGGTTTTATAGTCTTCCTCATGTAGATTTTGTACATTTAAAAAAATTTATACCTAAATTTTAATTTCGTCAAATAAGTTAGGTACTATTTCTTCTGCTTCTATCTTCTAGGAGAGATTGGAGAGTATTGGTGTAATTTCTTTCTTAAGTAGTAGAATTTAGCAGTGAATCCATCTGGGCCTGGTGCTCTCTGTTTTGGAAGGTTAAGTATTGACTCAGTTTCTTTATAGGTCTATTCAGATTGCCTGTTTCCACTAGTGTGAGTTTTGGCAGATAATGTCTTTCAAGGAATTGGCCCATTCCATCTAGATTATTAAATGTGGACTTAGAGTTGCTCATAGTATTTCTTTATTATCCCTTTGCTGTCCAGAAACTGGAGTGAGCTTCTCACATTTATTTATGATATTTATAATTTGTGCTCTCTTTATCCTTATTTAGTCTGGTTAGAGGCTTATCAATTTTGTTGTTCTATTCAAAGAACTAATTTTTAGTGTCATTGATTTTCTCTATTGATTTTCCACTTTCATTTTTATTCATTCCTACTCTAATTTTTACTATTTTTCTTCTGCTTATTTTGAATTTAATTTGCTTTTATTTTTCTAGTAGACACTTAGATGATTGATTTTAGATTTTCTTTGGATAAATGCATATAATGAAATAATATATGAAACATCCATATGTATGAAATAATATGTATGTCAGTATATGTATTACTTAATTTCCTTCTAAGGACTATTTTCACTGCATCCCTCAAATTTTGGTAGGTTATAGTTTCATTTCCATTTAGTTGCAGATATTTAAAAATTTCTCCTGAGAATTCTTCATTGATATATGTGTTATTTAAAAGTGTGTTATTGGGCAGCGGGGGTGGCTCAGCAGTTTAGCACCACCTTCAGCCCAAGGCCTGATCCTGGTGACCCAGGGTAGAGTCCCACTTCAGGCTCCCTGCATGGAGCCCGCTTTTCCCTCAGCCTGTGTCTCTGCCTCTCTGTGTCTCTCTCATGAGTGAATAAACACAATCTTAAAAAGAAAAAAAGAAAAAAAAAGAAAGAAACCATTTCATTCTCATGGTACCTGGTGTTAATTTACTGGTATATGTGTGTATGTCCTTTAAAGGGAAAGTCAAGGGCAGCCCTGGTGGCCCAGCAGTTTAGCGCCACCTTCAGCCCAGGGTGTGATCCTGGAGACCCGGGATCGAGTCCCAAGTCGGGCTCCCTGCATGGAGCCTGCTTCTCCCTCTGCCTGTGTCTCTGCCTCTCTCTCTCCCTGTGTCTCTCATGAATAAATAAATAAAATCTTTAAAAAATAAATAAATTTAAGTGTGTTATTTAAACTCCAAGTACTCCGTGATTTTCCAGCTATCATTGTATTTTGGTTTTCAATTTAATTCCATGTGGTCTGAGAGTACACATTGCATGATTATTCCACATGATCTTAAGAAAAGGTGTGTTCTGCTCTTGGATGAAGTAGTCCATAGATGTCAATTATGTCTAGTTGACTGATGCTCATGTTGAGTTCAACTTGTCCTTACTAATTTTCTTCCTGATAGATCTATTTCTTTTTCTTTCTTTCTTTCTTTCTTTCTTTCTTTCTTTCTTTCTTTCTTTCTTTCTTTCTTCTTTCTTTCTTTCTTTCTTTCTTTCTTTCTTCTTTCTTTCTTTCTTTCTTTCTTTTTCTTCTTTTAGATCTATTTTTATAGAGGTTTGTTGAAATCTCCAACTATGATAGTGGATTCCTTTTTTTCTTTTTTTGGTGGGGTAGTGTGTGTGAGTTTTGATTGTATAAAGCAACACACTTCTTTTTTAATACAACACACTTTTTAAAAAATAAGCATTCATTTCATTTGTAATTGATAATTTTACTTATATGGAGTAAAACTTTAGCTAGTCAGAGCACCTCTAGACATAGATGGTATTTCTCTTCAATAATAAATTTGAGGGGATCCCTGGGTGGTGCAGCGGTTTGGTGCCTGCCTTTGGCCCAGGGTGCGATCCTGGAGACCCGGGATCGAGTCCCACGTCGGGCTCCTGGTGCATGGAGCCTGCTTCTCCCTCTGCCTGTGTCTCTGCCTCTCTCTCTCTCTCTCTCTCTCTCTCCCCCCCCCGTGTGTGTGTGACTATCATAAATAATAATAATAATAATAAACTTGAATAAGAATTATCTTGAAACATTTTACATGCTTCTCTGCCTTTTTAAACTATGCTCATCTTTCGTGACCCCTCTTCCTGATGTTGTGTTATAAATCTGAACATAAATTATTCTATTGACAGAGTAATAGCTTCAGAAACTGTTGAATGCTGTACAACTGTTGATCCTGTATCTCACGACTCATTTGTCAGTATTGCCAGTATCTTAGCTCTTTAAAATCAATTATGGACTTCTAAATCAGTTAAGCAAGTCTATTGAAGTTAGGAAAGCTAGGAGTAATCTCTTCTAAGATTAAACAGGTTTGAGCTTTAGATAAGGACTTTGTAATTTTCACTTGCCCAGAGAACTTTGTGAGTTCCTGCTTCCTTATTCTGTTTTGGTTGATAGAGTTGTTTGTTGACTACTTTCTCCTTAGGTGAAGTATTTAATAGTCTTCTAGAATCTTTTAACACTGTTGCATACGGTTTATAACAAATGCATTACAATTAATGTAAGTAGTTCACCGGTTATTGCCTTAGGTCCAAAGGATTTTGGATACTGCTCTGGAACTGTCTTGCCAAAGAAAACTTTCATTGAACAGTAACAATAAAAACAAACAAATCTGAATAATGCAAACATCTTTCTCTCTGACTTCGCCTTTCTAAGCCAGGGCTTCCTTGTCATTTAGTACAAAGCCTGATTGTCTTCCTAGAAGGCCTGCAGTCCTGATTTACATTTTCCCTCAAGCTTGGTAAACCTGTCAGCAAAGAAGTTGCCGGTAGTCCAGTTGTAGTAACATTTTAAAGCATGATCTAAACTTCTCAATAATTCCGTGGTGGGAGCGAGGAGAAACTCAAATAAGAAGCAGCCCTAGGATCAAAGGATGTTTCTGGTATGAATGTTACTTCCCTTCAACTGAATATTTAACTAGTCTCGAGGAAACAAGGAGAACGGTTTGCCTGGATTCTATATTGGAAGCTTGGTTTTAATTTACTGTTATTTATTTCCAGGTGGAGCACCAGTATTCCCACAAATTCACGGTAGTGGTGTTACGTGCCACCAAAGTGACAAAAGGTGCCTTCGGTGATATGCGTAAGTATCCTTATTTGCTTTTCTGTTGAAAATGAATAATTATAGTTCACTCTTTAGTTGCTCTAATTCTCAGATATAAAGGGGGGGGGCTGTCCCTCTTTCAAATGTGGTTATCTTTCTCTAGATCTTTAAATGATAACATTTTGAATGATTCCCTGATTCTCTGTTATCTGTTGGAATAGTGTTTTATATTGACTTTACATTAATTGAGAGTACTTGGAGTCAGGCAAAATTACAGTCTCATGACATACAGATTTTTGGAGTTAAAATAAATTCTATTTAATTCTATTTTGGAAAGAGTGCTGAGTCAAGACTTCAAACAAGCTGCCTCCAAGGCACTGTGCCTATAGGATTAAAAAATGCAGTTTCTCTAGTTCTTATGCCTTTAAGTGTGTTTACTGTGTATGGAAATAGCTATAGAAACTGGTGTAGCACAGCTCGACAGGACCTGAACCACACACAGCTTGAGGAATTTGAATTAACTTGCTGGCAGTATCCTTCTCCATGCTTTGAAAAGCAGTTTTTCTGGCTCATCTCCCCACTCAAATGGCTGGATGTCACCAAGGTGGGAATAGAAAGAATGATAAGGATTTTGATGAGGAGTTTGACAAAGTTTTAGATTATTGCTAAAACATGGGAATGGGCAATTGAGCCCTCGGCACAGGTTTTCAAGAAAGTACAGAGATTGCAGTTAATGGCTGGGGAACTAGGATGAGTGCCCTGACTTTGAAACTGGTGCTCAGAGGAAGGAAATGTCAGCAATGAGAGTGCAGAGCAGTCCCAGGCTGAGCAAACTGCATATTCAAGAGTGAGAGAAGAACAAGAGGAGAGGAGTGCTCATGAGGACTTAGCACAGGTTCAGCAATATTAGAAAACAGATAGCAAAGGACAAGGGGGACAGGTACTGATAGGACAAAGGCCAGGACTGAGATTTCAACATCAATGGGAAAACTTGATGGCCTTTGAGTTACAAGGCACATGGTCGGATCTACATTTTTAAAAATGTTTGTCCTGGCCATAATAGGTTAAAAATATTAGAGGGAAATGTGGGATATACTTTTTATTTTTGAGAATAAAAATTAATAGTGAATAGAGAAATAAAAATAATACTGAACACAAGAATAAAACTCATGCTGAAAATGGGCCAACATAGAAAAGTTAAATATTAAGAAAAGAAAAATGCAAGCTCAGTGTTCAAGCCTTCAGTGAATGAAAAAGAGTATGTGGGAAGTGGTTAAAAGAAGTAAAATGGGAAACAGGGCGGAGAATCTAATGGCAAGAGTTTTGGATGAGCAAAGAGGTTTTCACGAAAGGTGGAGGAACAAGGACCATTTTTTCAACTCTTCTCTGGACCAGGAATTTATATATATTAAATTTTATCCCCTACCTCAGCCCAAACCATTTAGTCACTCTCCGGTCAATGTTCTTCTGAAGTGATTCTTATTTTGCTTTTTTAAAAATAATTCTTCGCATTTTCATCATTTAAATAAGAGTTCCCTGGGAGAAAGAGAAGTCAGATCAGAAGCTATATTTAAGAACTGGTATAGTCCCCATGCCCTGGAGAAAAGGCACAGGCTCTCCAGTTCAAGAGGTTGACTCTTAGAAAAGCTGTTCTCAATTCACCCGAAACCTATGTCAGGAACTTGCCAGGCATGCAAGTTACAGACCTAATTTGACTTTTAAAAACATATAGTTATATACAAAGCAGCAGCAAATCTTTCCCATAGTGCTGGACTCTGCCAAGCAGAGACAATGGGTGTCACTGTGTTTAAGATGAGCCCAAGAGCAGTTCAAACCCCATACTCTGTGAGTCGCCTTCAACTGCTGTGGATTTGATTTCCTAGCTGCTTCCCTCAAAGGCACAGGCACTTGGAATTTATTTAGAATTAAGGCAGGGGAGGGGTGCCTGAGTGGCACAGTCAGTTAAGTGTCTGCCTTCTGCTCAGGTCATGATCCCAGGGTCCTGGAATCCAGTCCTGAGTCAGGCTCCCTGCCCAGTGGGGGGCCTGTTTCTCCCTCTGCCTCTGCCCCTCCCCCACCCACTGTGTTCTCTGTCTTTCTCACTCAAATAAATACAATTTTTTTAAAAAAGAAAAGAATTAAGGCAGGGGAGACAGTGGTGCAGCAAATGTTATTTGAAACCTACATAAGTGACACTGATAATATACGAATGAACGGGAGGCAGTAACCTGTCTCATGAAACAGGGAAAAAGGTGCATTTTGGGTTCCCCACAGTGTGTATAGCACAGGTTAGACCCATGGTCTCTAGAAGTTTTCTTTGGAAAATGAAGGACCCATGGAAGGAATAATCACTGGCGGTTAGTCACTAGAGGAGATAGGGCAGTGTTACAACATTCTGCTAATGTTTTTATTCAGCATTTGTAATTTGATTTTATTTCACTTGAATTATTACATGATTTTTTTGGAGTGTGGAGGAGGGAATTGTTGCCAAGCCTTTATATCAACTTATTGAGTTTATAGAAAGTCAGGAGCAGGAAAGAAGGAAAAACAAGAGAAAGTCTTAGAGAAATGAGTTTAGCAAGAACGTTAGTGTGAAAAAGTGAAGGGATGATACATAGTGCCAAGCACTTTATTTTTGAGCAGTTGTAGGAGATTATCACAGTGAGGAAAGGTATTGGCATTAACTGTCACTTTTCTAAGAGGGGTTTTGCTGATATTGGTTGGTGAGCTGGATCAATATGAATTACCAAGTAAACTGAATTTGGGATCTTTATATGTGGAAGTTCTTCCAATATGGACAAGGATAAAGCTACAAAAAATACTGTAAGGTCTGTGAAGACCATCATAACAGAAACTTACATTCTCTTCTGCTCTTGATAGTATCTGCATTTACTTAAAAAGGCAAATTTCCATAAAGCTTTACATGTTGGTAAAGAGAAATGACAGATTACTATTGGGTTTTTTGGTTTTCTTTGTATGTGGGGGCTTTCTCAAGGGTGCCACACAAATCAAATAAATTCTTGATTCCTGGTAAAATGTCTGTATCTACCTTTTTCTTTTTATGAGATAATACTAAGATGATATCAATTTTTTATTTTGTCCCTTGATAAATCATCTAGTTCTAATTATCACCACTTAAAAATAATGTATTAAATTGCTAAACCAGCATAATAAAATTAGCAGCACCCCATGAACTGTCTTCTGAGGGGTCAGAGCTGACCTTGTAATCATAACATCTGACATATTTCCTTGTTTTCACCTGAGGGCCTTGGGCCAGCCAAGAACAGGACAGCCGCTTCCCAGACCTGGTTGCTAATCTTATTTGTGTGCTCAAATGTATCATTTATACCTGTATCCCTATGCTAACCCTTCCTTGTATTCTTATGCTCATGTCATATGAAAAGGTAGCTTGAAGTTTGTATTTGCACTTGATTCACCATAGTCTAATTTTTAAAATAAGTACTTTGCATTAATTTGACAATATTAACGAACTCTTTTAAAGCTATAGGAAGGCGGTCCTGGTGGCTCAGCGGTTTAGCGCCGCCTTCAGCCCGGGGTGTGATCCTGGAGACCCTGGATTGAGTCCCGCATCAGGCTCCCTGCATGGAGCCTGCTTCTTTCTCTCTGTCTCTCTCTCTCTGTCTCTCATGCATAAATAAATAAAATCTTTTTAAAAGAATAGCTCTGCCTTATTAAAATAAATAAATAAATAAATAAATAAATAAATAAATAAAGCTATAGGAAGTTGTAGTTAGATCTAACATGCAGCCAGGAGCATATTAACATTGCACCAGGTGCAAGTGTTGGATGGATATCTGATTAAACTTTGCATTCGTTATTGTTCCTTTCTTCTTCTAATAGAAGTTACATATTTGAAAATGACTACAGTGACCATAAAATTTCAGTTGGTAATACACTTTGTACATATGTGAAACAAAAAGCATACACCCCTGGCCTCAAACCTGATTTTAAAATGGAATGAGAGAGCTGGCAAAAATGTTTTAGCTACCTCACTGAGTTTCTGCTCCTTTTAAAAAGTGTTGAGGAAAACACTGATCATATATCATAAGGGAGGCTAGTCTCAGAATTCAGAACTAGTCATGTTTCATTCTCTAAGATGAAATCAGAAAATGGATACCATAGTGTTTTTGTTTACCTCTTTTTTAAAGATGTATTTACTTGCAAGAGAAAGAGAGAGCAAGCATGGGGTGGTGAGGGGAGGAACAGAGAGAGAGAATCTCCAGCAGACTTCCTGCTGAGTGAAGGGCCCAACCCAGAGTGCCATCCCCGTACCCTGAGATCATGACCTGAGCCAAGAACTAGAGTTGGACGCTCAACCTACTAAGCCACGCAGGAGCCCCACCAGTGTTAAATATTTTTAATATCCTAATTAAGCATATATACTAAAGATTCCTGTCTGGTCTTAATGGACACTGCACTCTTTCTCTTTACAGAACTATCATCATCAACATTAGGGTTTTCAAGGACAGTTGTAGGATTGCGGATGGATCGACTTTCCTTAAGTATTTAGGAGAACACAGAGCTTAATTCCAACATTTAAACTTTAAGAAAAAATAAATATACTCAGGAGAATTATGAACTCATTGTATTGAAACCAATTTTTATAAAGTTGTATTGCCTAATATCCTAAGGTACTCTTTGAAGGTTTTCTTAAGAACCTCAAGCTTTTGTTTTTCATAATGTCTGTGTCTATGGGTAAATTGGAGAGAAACTCATAGCAAGATCTAGACCAAGTTCCTGATTTTTAAACAGCTGTGCCATTTGCAGGTCCAAGGCTGACCTAATCTCCCCAAGTAGTGCTTTTCAAAAATTAATGTCTTCATGAATCACCAGGGGTTCTCAGTCAAAGTGCAGATTCTGATTCAGTAGATATGGGAAAGGTCTCCCTCGTTCCTCCAGTCTTGCTCTCACAAGGAGTAGCCTTGACCCCTCACGTCAAGAAACACCGAGAGGATTTAGCCTCTTCAAGGGACATGACTCTCAACACATAGTGTCAATAATTCCCTGGGAAAGGAGCT